CTTAAACAGTAGGGAAAGCAACAGGCACAGCCCAAAGAGAGCAAATGTTTGCATATTCTGTAGGGGTTGTATCTTGTATAATGAAGTATGATCCCTTCATATATATATATATTTGGTTTTAGTGTTCTCTGGCTGTCCTGGAACTCCCTCTTTTATTTTTTGTGATAAACTTTTTTTAAAAAAAAATTTCTAATATTACTTTATATTGTTTAAATTTTCAAATTTGACAAGTAACATAACATGCCTGTAATCCCAGCACTTGGGAAGTGGACACAGGAAAAAATAAGTTCAAGACCTAGTGTGAACTACAGAGCAAGTTCAGGGCCAGCCTAAGCTACAGAATGAATCAGACTCTGTCTTTAATATATAAAAGTATGGGCTGGAGAGATGGCTCAGAGGTAAAGAGCGCTGGCTGATCTTCCGCAGGTCCTGAGTTCAATTTCTAGCAGCCACATGGTGGCTCACAACCATCTGTATTGAGATCTTGTGCCCTCTTCTGGCCTGCAGGCATACAAAGAGGCAGAACACTGTGTACACAATAAATAAATAAATCTTTAAAAAAGATATAAAAGTACATAATATAACAAATAAAGAGTAAGATAAAATGATAAATATAAAATTAAAATACAAATTTTGAAAGGGATAGGGCTCATTGAGAGCTCCTGAGTCCAAGCATTTGCCACCCATGCCAAAAGGATTTCATGTTTCTGGGCAACTCTAGTTACCTATCCAGAAACAGTCGTGTAAAAGAAGCAGGCACAGTCACGGTTTTGCCGCTCATTCTCCACCATGAGAATAATATTTCAAAGTTCAAGCTACCGAGATGTAGCCGGGCACTCTTAGGAAGCTCCAGCGAGAGTGGGAGGTGTAGCAAGCTTTGGGGTGGCTAGTGGTCCCTCGGGGTGAGTGGGGATGCCTGGTACCGTTTGGTAGGCCCGGCAAAGCAGGTTGCCAGGTTTCAGAGCAGCTGAGTAGCGTTTCTCCCTAACGTAAGGGAGACACGACCTTCAGGGCCCAGGGACCACTTGGTACCGTGTTCATCCTGCCAACTGGCGGGTGCCATTAAGTCTTCCAGTGGCCCTCAGTGCAGGCCACACAACCAGTAAGCCAATTCCGGTTCTCTGCACCCCCACAGAGAGAAATTCCATTAATGCAAGAACAAAACTGACCATAAAGACCCGGTTAGAGTTGGCAAGGGAGGGGGGCGGCTGACAGGAAGGGCAAGTGGCCAGGATAGAAGACCCGAACTGAATGCTTCCTGGTTTGAGAGCCCTAGAACACTAACAGCATCATGAGAAGCCTCTCGGTGTCAGCGGTGGCTAAGACCTCGTGAAATCCTCTCAAATATCCACAGACCCGAGTCACCTGGCCCCTTTTATAGATGTGCACACTGGGTTCCTAGGAAGTGAGGAAGCTGCAGATTCTCAGCTTAGACTCCGGATTGGCAGTCTGGTCCCAGACTCTCCAGTTAGATGGTGATTGAGTTGTTGTGTGTCCAAGGTACAGGCCTTTGGAATCTAGGTGCAAAGACCATAGCCTTTGAGTAACTCACAGTTCCGGCCCCTCTGACACCTCAGGTCACCACGCCTGCCTGCCGTTCTCCAGTAAGACAGGAGCACAATAGACAGCAAAGGGCAGGCCGGCTGTGGCTCTTGGCTACTCCAGTCCCTGCATGTGGACTTTGGTTATCCTCCAACTGGACCCGCCAGAGAGCAGCAAGGACCTCCAGACAAGAAACACGGAGCATCTAAGACACAGTGGGAGCCCATGAGAACCTGAGCTGCTAGCTCCAGAGCCTACCAATACTTTCCTCAGCTGTCCTCCAGCTCGAGGTGCCCCTGACTTGGGCAAAAACACCCGGCCCTTCTTCAAGGCACTGGCAAATTCAGAGCCCTGGGGACTTCTCCAAACTTTAAAATTCTTTTCACCTCCAGAAATGGACATCTTACCATGGCTGTGGTGTGCAGGCAACCTAGCAGCCCCAGCTCATGCCATGCTCTGCAGGAATCTGCCAGATGGTGAGCCCCGATGAGCACCTGATGGGCCCCTAATTCTTTTACAAATTGCCATCACCTTCTACAGAACCACATCGTCATCCAGCAGCTCCTGAGCAAAGATCCCCCTGTGAGGCTGGGGCGCTCACCATACGATGCCTCTGTAGCTGCCCGTCCAACAGACAAGGAACCTGAAAACACTGGGGCCAGATGGCAATGCTTGACCATGGTCCTCCTCTAGGCGGGAGAAAAGTTGCTCTTTGGAAGCCTGAGATCTCGGGGAAGCCATGCACTAAGGGTAAGAGGCGGTTTGGGCAGAGTGTAGCTGGGGCCAGGAGTTCTCCGTGAAGATAGATGGGCAGTGAGGAGAAATGGAAGATGGAGATGCAGGCAGATGGAGGAAAAGCCAGGGTGAAAACGTGGAGCAGGAACTGCAGAGTTAGTCAGCAGAGAGATGGGGAGACTGCTCCCATCTCCAGAGCTTCCTCTTCCTGTCCTGACACCAGCCAGCTCTGCTGTTCATCCTGGTCCATGGGGCAGCAAGGAGGTGGGGGTGGGGGTGGTTGAATTACTGCTTCTTCTGGGTCAAGATGCCCAGGTCCTCTTGGACTCCCCTTCCCCCACTCATTGTTCTGTCCCAGAGATCTGAAAAGCAAACAGGCCGGAAGTTCAGGGTTGTATAACAAGGCAAGGGGAAGCACTACACAGAGGCCAGAGTCCATACTTTCACAAGGAAAGCAGCAGGCTCACCTTGGTTGAAAAAAAAAAAAAAAAAAAAAAAAAAAAACAACAAAACAGACTACAGAGGGCCTTTGCTCTAGTTTTGAAGCCCTGGGTGCTTGGCTGTGAGCCTGGTAACACCCCGTCTAAGTAGGGGAAAGGCAACAGCTAGAACCACGAACTGCCTCAGAAATGGGGCTATCCACACAGTGATGGACTTGGTCCAAGGCCAGATCATGTCACTCACAGACAGAAAAGACTACCTTACAGCTGTATGACCTAGAGAGGACGCATTCTAGATGTTTCCTTAGGGCGCGCCCTCTGGAAGGCAGGCTGGGTTGAAACTCTGGAGGCCGAGGATGGGGCGCCAGGCACATACCAGCTGAGTGTCATCTCCATCTTTCCCTGAGACACTGCCCATGTCAGCCAGTGCAGACTGGTCGAGTGAGCTGCCCTTCCAGGGGGCACGGAGCCTCTAGGGAACTAGTGTGAAGTTGGGCGGGTAGGGAGGCAGGGAGGGTCTGGGAGGAGTTGGGGGACAGGAAGGAATATGATCAAAATACACTATGAAAAAAAATAAATGAGAAAGTCCAAGGGGTTAAAACACTAAATTTTAAAAAAAAATCCAAGGGATTTTCAGGGGGTAAAATAAGGATATTACCAGTTTTAACTGATCTTAACAGAATGACTTTCTTAATGGGATGCGTGACTCTAGAAGGTTCCAGGGCTTTAGACTGGGTGAGAAAACTACTCAGTCTGTCTAAAGAACACTCTTCTGTATGAATGTCTCTTATCACACAAAAATATTTAGAATAAAAAGTTTAAAAAAAACACAAGGCTTTTTCCCTTTTAAAAAGAAAACAAAGGAAAATCTGCACAATAATGAAAAATGTACACAAAATTAGATGAATGTAAACAAAAATAAAAATTTAATGACTAAAACACTAGAAAGAGCTAACAGAATGGGGTTATGGGCAGCGAACGTGGTTTTGAAAGTGTACAAACTCGACCAATAAAGTATATTCCTCACACACATGAAGCCCTGAGTTCGAATTCTGGTTCTCATATAGTAACAAGGCACAGGGGCATGGAGGTACTGGGAACAGGGAGGCACTGGGGGCACGGAGACGTGGACCTAAAGTCCTAATACCAGGATGTAGTGACTGGATCCCCGTCTAGCCAAGATGCACATGCATCTGCATAAATCACACACACACACACACACACACACACACACACACAGAGAGAGAGAGAGAGAGAGAGAGAGAGAGAATGCTCTTTTCCTGAGATCCTTCAATGTGCCACGGCAGGGAGCAGGCCATGTGGTGCCAGACCTGAGGGAGTCACCTGATAGATGACATTTTGTCTTTTAGGATGCTGTTATATCACAAAGTTCAAGGGGTAAGGATGGGGGAGGAAATTAGGTCAAAGATCAAGGCTCTGAATTCAGGTCCTATCGCTCCTGCAAAGTTACTGGGCCTCAGTCTTTCCTTTTAAAAACCAGGGGCAGGACTAAAAGAGATTTATGTTTATTTGTTTGAATATACATATATATATATGTAGTTGGAAACAGTGATTGACTCTAGTTTAAAATTTTAAAATTTATTATCTTGAGACTGGCTGTCATAG